ATGATGCTGCTCAGCCGGGTGCTGTCTGAAACAGAATGATTGGAATTTTCTTATTATTTTGTTGATTTGTTTTTAATTTTAAAGAAAAAAAAAAAAACAGGATTAATCCAGCATTTATTGAGCTTATTGTGTCTGCAAATAAAAAGGCCAAACAACTAAGCCAGAAATCTCAGAGCTGAGAATTTACCTTTAGCAACCAGACCAGGCAACAGGAAAACAACATGGTTATTAGAGGTTTAACATCAGCTAAACGCTAGTAGATGTTTAATATGACATTTACATTAAATTAAATCTGTCAATATTAAAACAATTAAGTTAGATCTTTATATTCAGATTGATTAATACACATCTCTAAATCTTGATAATTTTCATGACCAGCCTGAAGCTGCCACATAAAAAAAATAAAAATAAATAAACCATGTCATTACAGGCACAGATTAATGAAAAATAAGTTCTCAGGGCCAGAAAAAAAAAAATCTGTTCTTCAATAAAGTTATAGTAAAACCTAATAGGAATATATGTTTTGTTTTAAATAAGCTGTTATCATTATGGGATGTAAATGTAGAGTTTAAAGTTAATGTATATTTAACTTTTTCACATTCTGATCATTTTCCTTTGTAGAAATATAACAATTATATTGAAAATGTGAATGATACTCTTCAGTGCATCTTTATAGCAGCATGTGTACATTTTTCTTATTTGGGGGGAGCTGAGGGCCCAATATCAATGTCTTTCATGGGCGCCAAATTCCTGGCAGCCCCCCTGAATGAAGACAAAGGGTTTTTAAGGTTTGTAGTAATAAAATGCAAGTATAAGAACATACAAATCATATTTTTTCATCGGCAGGTTTTAACATTTTTAGCTAATTTGGGCATTTATAAAATGTTTCATCATAGTTCATAAAAATGTTTTAGTGCAGCAATAATGATCAGAGCTCACTCGCTTTTTCTTTTAACAATCCACTCTTACAGCTTTTTTTAAACCTTGGAATTTTGTATTTTCAAATGCAGAATTTCTGCAGAAGTGATGACAGCTTGCAGGTACTGTAGTGTCTATCGAACCCTCCCAAAAAAGGGGATCAACTTTTCCGATTGGTTGCGTCCAGCAGCAAAAGTTCAATTTACTAAACTCCAGTGAAACAACTGAACGCTCTAAATGTGCTCAACGCTTCCCCCATAGACTTTGGCTGTAAACCAGACACTTGATGCCACATTTACAACTAATGCGCTTTGGACAGCAAAAGAAGCTGCTTTAGATGCAAAGTCTATGGTTGAAGCACATCAAAATGTCCAGAGACAGCGTTGTTATGTGGGGGTCTGCAGAAAAATTATATTTAAGGCAAGATCACAATTTTAATTGACTGTAAAGACAATGTTTTGAGGTCGACTTTCTCGCATCAACATATATTAAAACTTTTTGCTCTACTTATCACAGCAAATATAGCAAAGCCGCTCTCTGCCATTGACCAGAGCAGCAGCAGAAGCATCAGACGTGTCATACACTCTACTGGATGTGCTGCAGGAACATCAAAATGCTCTTGAGGAACATCTGACCTTTAAGTGTAGAAACATCAAAAAAGAAGCAGAAGCTTTTTGGCTAATTAAATCACATGCGGTGTGAACGCTGCATGAAAGTGAGTAGTAAAGACCAATCCCAAATGTGTGGTACTATAAACAGAACAGCCACAGTTGGTGTTTCTGATTAAATATTTTACTTCTTTTTAAGCACTAGTGGCCTTTATTTTGTCATTTTTCAGAGTATTCAGTCAGGGAAAGTTTTAAAAGAGAGGTGCAAAGGTCTTTGCACCTTGTATATCATTTTATCAGAACTGCTTATATCCTTTTAGTTTTCCAACTGTCAGTAGGTAATATTTTCTACAATAGGTTTAATAGGTTATTAAAGGTACACAACAGGGCCTACGTCGTATTAAATGCCACAATCTGCAAGGTAAAAGTCATGGGCGTTTACCAGTCAGCTAAAGGGACTCTGGTTGTATCCCACCATATCCTACAGCTTTTACCTGGGTTGGCTTCTCTAAATTGCCCTAAGTCAAGAGAGGGAATGTTTGGCCTTTGGTGTTTGAATGACAAAGATAATCTGAAACTCATTCACTGACATTGTCTCAAAACTTAGAGGGTTAGGTAATGCTCCCTCTACATATCACTGGAGAAAAACAAATACATAAAAAAAATATATATATTTTCTTATTTTTTTTAATAGAGCCTTGATGAAAACCTCCGGAAGTTACTTACCAAAATAAAAGCCACATTTTTCACCCCACTGGAAGAATGTCCCATTGGCTTTGGCTTGCGGATCCGCACCCATCTTGACCAAAAGTTCAACATAAGTCAGATGTCTCCGTTCAATAGCAACGTGTAATGCAGTTTGACCTGAGCAAATGGTATTCAGAAACATTTCAAGTAAATTCAGCACAAATTAATTAGAATCAAACCAAAGCCTGAAAACTAAGTCTTGTAGGTTTAAGGAAATCCTTATTTCTACTTTGTAATAATGTAGCCTGTACTTCCACAGAAACTACCCTTGATCAATGCTTCTTACCTTTCCAAACAAGGACCTGCTCTGATTATGTAGTCATGTTCAGGACCAACTGCCCCCACCCCACCCAAGTGGCATTAAACATTTTAAAGTATTCACTTCTCTAGAGGTTTTTAATCTCACCTTAGGCTTCTCACTTTATTTCCCAGTTAATCAGTTAACTAGAATAAATAATTTGTTCATAAGCCATCACCTCCTTACCTTTGTAACGAGGAGCTGTAAAAGCTGCATTGATTAGAGTCTCTAAATCACCAGTCTGCTTTGCAATCTGAAGTAGTTCCAGAATAGTGTCATTTCTGCCATTTTTCAGATTCAGTAGGGCCTTTATGAGAGCCGTTTTTCCTGTTGCTGCATCTGAAATATAAAAAATGCATAGCTTTCTTATCAAAACAGTGCTGTAAACTTGTAACAAAAAAGGGAATTCCAGCCATGCATCCAATGAAAAACTAAACCATTGGGCAGTAGCATGCAAACTGTTAAACCGCACAGCAGCGTTTTTAAAAATGCATCACTTCAACAACAGTTCAACCAGAAGTCCATTACACAAAACCAAGATAAAGGATTAAGTCTTGAATTTTCCTGGATAATATGGCCTACTTGGCTTTACAAAAGCAGCAATAGAAGTTACCACAGTTACAGTATTCTGTGTGGCTAGTCTACACTTGACCAGACTCATTTAATCCTGGTGCAGCATAATTTTCAGACAGGGGTGCACTGATCCCAAAAATAGTTATTCCAACATTTTTTTTTCTGAAAAAACACACAAAATCATACTGATTGATGGCAAGTTAAATTTCATGAAGTACCGGGTTTTATTTTATTTTATTTTATTTTTTACTTAAAAAGCAAAAACTTAAAGCACTTACCGGTAACCACAAAGAGTCTGAATGCTGATTTTACCCCATTAGCCTGCTGTTCATTTTTAGTCACCTTCAATTAGAGCATCTTTGGTTGGAAGGGGTAAGGGAATGTACATTTTAGGCATTTAGTCCATCAGTTTTTATGTTTGTTTTAAAAGTGCAGACCTGCTTGAATATTTACACTTGGGTTGAGATAATCACACTTGTAGAGCTTTGACTGCCTTTTGTGGAATGGATTAAATCAGGATGTACTCCTCACACTCTCTTGCTTAATCACTTATACTATAATTTCTAAATATGAAATAACATATTGAAATAAAATGTTTTTGACTCTACTTGCCTGTAAATTCTGGGCTTGAAAGCAGTTTATTTTCTTTTTTCAGGAAAGTAAGTAGCTGAGGGGGCAGTTTTTTGTGCCAATAAACTGCTTGAAAGACCTCGTTCCTCATGGCATCTATGGTGTTATGATTCCTGTTGCAAAACATTAGAAACATACTGTAATACCCACAAATCTCAACACTCAGGGACAAAAAAAAAAAAAACAATCACCAAGAAACAAGAGGAAAAACAAAAGTGTAACTGCATTTTTTAAATGAAAAGAAAAAGTTGTTAAATGCAAAACTTAAGCTTATTACTTACTTTAAACTCATGGCCACAAGAGGTGATTATAAAAATAAACTGAAGTCTGTGCTGATATTAGCTCCCCCGTAGCTATCATCCACAGCCGGGCCCTATTTCACAAAAGCAAAATTCAGACATCCCAGCATAAGAGATAAAGAGCAAGCTAGGCCCAGCAGGTGCAGGCACCTACAGCCAGGTGTAAGTAATCAAGGTATGCAGGTCTCCAGTTTTCTTAAAGTGAAAAGGAGGTCCATCACAGCTTCATTGATCTAGCAATCAAAAGGAGTGACTAAGTACATATATTTGCCAAAAAATATTTCCTGATCAATTCTTTTAACTAAAAACTAGTGATGGGTTAATGAGGCATCATGAAACGTTTCGATACATTGGCAAACTATTGATAATGTTTCACTACTGTGTAACTGAATACTGACACCTGCTGGGAATTAAAAATGACTGCAGGCAGCCTCTTTGACAGGCTAAACCAGAGGTCCGGATCCGGACCCACCTGCTGCCTAATCTGCACCCAACCTGATTTAAAACATTAAGAAATTACCGCATGTTGTCTGACGACAGTGTCTAACTTCACTTGCGCCGCTTCTCCAGTTAGTATTGTAAAGCCCTCAACAGCATCCAGGACCAGGCTACACGTCAAACAAATTATCCAGTGAGCTGCTGTCAGTCTGGGTAGCTGCTGTCAGTCTGGGTTGGTGATGGGAAAGAAGGAGAAGGTGATGAGAAAAAGAGAGCAGAGAAAGTGTGGACTGCCGGAAGAACTGCGGTGAACTGGTGACAGAAAAGTGAAATGGTGCTCAAAGATGACCCTGCACATTTAGAGTATGTTTGGCTCAACCTGCTGCTGTGAAGCAGGATTCTCCACCATGAACAGAATCAAAAATAAATATGGATCCAGGCTCAAAATGAGCTCCTTGACATGTGCTTTAGAATGGCTTAGTCTCCATTCAAACTCAGGTTTAAAGCCTTGCAGGACAGCCTAAAGCCCACTGCTCTCATTAAGTCATTAAAAAAGAAAGAAAATAACAATCAGTTCAGGTGTTTTATAAAATATGTGAATCAGGAAATTGTCTATATAACAAACTGAATGATCGTTTTTCTCTACTTCAAAAAACACTTTAGATTTTAAAAGGGATACATTTTCTATTTTTTTCATATTTTTTCCTTTTTAAAAATTCAGTGAATAACATGGATGCATAAAATCCTGCTTTTTATTTCAGTGTTAAGTTCTTTTTAAAGGAACTGTTTTAATTATAATTAAAACTGTCTCCGGACCTTTACTAGTTGATGATTTTCTTTATTCGGACCCCGCTGATTTTTAATTGGTTACCCCCTGGGCTAAACTGACATGGATTTGATGACCTATAATATTTAAGCCACTGTTTCCTACAATGCATTTTTTCATATCTTCGTTTAAATAGAAAATATGGTTGATATTTTTAGAGCCAATCCATAAACATAACAGGAATCTGTAAATATGACGTATAAACAGAATTTATTTATTTAAAATAATAAGAATACCAAACTAAGGTTCAATTTGAAATCAGTTTGAATTGACTTGCATATAAAAACATTTTAATGAGTCATACAGTTCGAAACAGCTCCTCTAGTGACGTAGGTTTTGCTGTTAGAGCTCAACACCTGTAGTGCATCTGCATTGCTGGACCCACCACCAGGCTCTGACTTGTAATCTGTGATTCCGGGCATTTGCCCAGAGGGCCAGTGCTAATTTCAGCATGCAAAGGCCGGCCCTCCTTAGATCGTACCGGCCCCTCTCCGACCGAAGCTCCTACCTATGACAGTAAATAACTCAAGGAGCTCAAGTAGTAATACAATGTTAACTACCTAAATGATGCATCCAGTATATATAGCCCTTCCTTGTCATGCACATCCTTATGATGGTTGGCATATGGTGTAATTTTCTATTTCTTTAAACTGTAAAATTCTTGCAACAAACTAAATCCTTTCTTTAAACCAAACTACGATGTTCCTCTTATATTTGGTGAATTTATGTTCGAATATTTCGCAAAAATATGTTGCGGTGCCTGATGGGGTTTTACATCTACAGGCTAACATTTACTGTCTTACATGCATTGTTGGCTGGCTTTGTGCAAGTGTAGATGTTACGCAGCAGCAGTCACTGTCGCATCCGTGTTAATAACCAAAGCCAGTATAACCGTCTTATAGAAAGTCTTGGTGATGGTTGTTGTGTGACGCTTGAAGATAGATCAGTTAATCCTAAGTGTGTATTTGTATCGTGTTTCACATTTGAGATGCACGCATTTGACTGTGCTTCTATTTTTTTAAGGGGAGGGGGGTTCTATAAGTGGGTCGGTGTAGATGGAAAAATGCCAGGGCCGAAAATCGTTCCCAGTCCAAGCCTCACCATCAATACGAAAAACATTATAATTTAGAGAGTTAGCTGTCATTTTTCTCAAATGAGCAACCTTTAACTTTCAAATTATCAGAAGAAGCTAATATTGTAACGTGCAGACGTTAAATTGATAGTTTTTAGTCCAGGGTCTCGGTCGCTCTGTGATTTAGCTAATGAAGTCTTTGTCTCGGGGGACAAAGACTTCATTAGCTAAATTTCAGAATCACTAAATCATGAATTACATCTGGTGTGAAAACTTTGTCAAGCTACAGATATGATTCATCAATTTTTTTGTAACATATTTTGTCCCCTCCCCCAGATTCCTTCTAAAACAGGAAATTCTTTGTTTATGTTATGAATTCTGAAGATGGTGGTCCTCTCTCTCTGTGTCAGACAATGAAGCTTGTTTTTAACACCTAAGATAAAATAGCTTTATGGAAGCCCGTTTCCGCTACATGAAAGTAAAAAAAAAAAAACATAATTGAAAGTTATAATTATGAGATTCAAAGTCATAATAATGACCTCAAAAGTCAAAATTATGACTTTGAATTATGACTTCCTATTTGGCATTTTTGTTATTTCATGGGGCGGAAACAGGCTTATATTAAATATAGCTTAGCCTTGTACCATGAAAGGTACCAATATTATTGTAGTGTTAATAAAATATATGGAAGTTTAGGCTTAATTATGTCCAAATAAATTAAGGTGTAATCTGCATATCAGAGAGGTTCCTGTGTTAAAAGAACAATAAGTACGCATACAGGCTACTGCCTACCTCCTTCCTTACTGCCAGTACTATTCGATCAGCATGTACCATGGGGAACGCTGAGGAACATCCGGTTTCCATAAAGAATTCTTACCAATTTGCAGTATGTGGATTGATCCTTATTCTCTGTTTATACCAAACGTGAATTAAGCAGCAAAAAAGTGTCTGCTGCAGCACTTTTGATGCTTGTCCACATTAAGGTCAAGTAAAGTGTGTACAGATTGATCTAATGCTTTTGCTACTCCTTTAGTGACAAGCACAGGCCTTGTCATTAAATGAACAAAAATATATACTTCACTTTTACACTTTGTGATACATGAAATGTACAAACCTTTATTTGCTTTGGGTTTTAAAATGGAGAGCTTCAGCTGTTTGTTTTTGTTGTTCTGATTTGGAAGGCTGTTGTTGGGTTCAAAAATGTAGGTTTGTAAAAGAAGAACTGAAATTCACAGTTAGGGATTTTCAAACACAGCTTCCTGCAGGAGGAGAGACAGCTGCACCCAAGACTCAAACACGCTGTCTCTCACCGGACCTCCTCTGCAGAGCACTTTATTAACAGAACATGACACATGGTTACAAACACAGTATTGTTCTGACAGGACAGTTGATCAGGTCATAAGACAAGATGCTCTACTGGGCAGAGCTCTTGTCTGAATCACAAGATAGAGTGGTCTCCTGATTGAATCATAAGACAGTGTGAAGCATCTCATTTCTACAATGTTTCATATGAACACACATTAATTTTATAATCATCATTGAAGGAACCTAACAGCTGTAGTCCCAGTTTGACAAGTAACATCCACATGGATATCCAACACATAATGGGGCTGAAAGAGCAGTGTTGGGATCTGGAGCTGTACCACCTGCCTCCAGCAGAGTTCGCTGTGGATCCTCCTGAGTTGAGCCTTTCGACACACCTGAAGCCCATCTCATCATCAGGAGGATCCTCCACTATTTAAGCAGCCTTCAGACCTCGCATCAATGCCGCAGTGTTTATCCAGTTTGGTTAGCACCTGAGCCTCACTACCTCAGTGATTACTTGTTGCTTTTTGTCTCCTAGTGGATTCTAATTCCTTTTTGTCTCTGCCTACAGGAAACCTGTTTTGTCCTGTAAGCTGGATGAGCTTAACCTGTCAAACCTGCCATCTGAGCCAAACCTGAAGACCCTTCCCTGGATTCCAATGCAGCTCTGGACTAAGAGCTGGAAAACCAAGGTCTGTCCAAGTTTAGATGCAAGACGCTGAAGCTGAAACTGAACTCTGCTGAATCAAACAGTCTCTGGACCCAACAGTGCCTCTCTCAAAGCTAAACCTGGATTCTACAAGGTAGATCTCTGAACAATAACATCTCAACATTCTTCAGCTACGTGGCTAACTGAACTGTCTCCCTTTCAGTCTCCTGAGAACCAGATCCCCAGAAGTGATGTGATTTCTTTATTTCTGGGGTCTGTTCCTTACTTTCTTTAATAAATATAATTTTCTGGCTTTGCATCACCTCAGAAAATTAAGTAAAACACCTTACTCAGAAATTCCACTTAGAAACAGCACAGCTTGCAAACACAAAGCTTTTATAACGACACTCTTGAAATGAAAATGGATTTAGAAAATAAATTTAGATTCATAGCAAGGGTTACAACTGTTGCCTCACAGCAAATGGAGATCAGATCCCATCTCGGCACGTTCTGTGCAAACTTTACCAATTCCTCCCTAGAATGTGTTTATTTCTTTGTCCTGATCTTTAAATCATAAGCCTTAGATGCAGAGGTGTCAACGTTATTAATGTTAAGTCAAGTAAATCCTACTCTTTAAAAAACTATTTTGTGGAAACTAGAGTATCAACTTCAGCTTTTAACTCAAGTAAAACTAAACGGACCATTTTTAAAGCTGCTTAAAGTATGAAAGTAAAAGTAATGCAAGGAAAATGTTAAGGACAGATGCTTTAATGCTCTAGCTTATTAAATGAACATTTTGCTATTTGTCTTAGTATTATAACTAATGGCAAACATATAAAATAAAAAATTTTATAATCTTGAAAAGTGATTTATTTAGGTATGTAGGGAACAACAAGTTGGTGCAGTACCGAGTCCAACCACAACGACATTAATTGTCTGGATGCAACAAATTATTTTGATGGTTTTTATATTTTTTAAATACCAACAGGCCATAACGAAAATGAGCCCAAAGGAAACAAAACTAACGAGTTTTTTTTTTAAATGTAAGGAGTAGAGAGTAGAGCTAATTGCAAAAAAAAAATGTAAGAGTAGAAATAAAAAGTTGGCTAAAAACAATTACTCCAATAAAGTACAGATAGGCAAAATTTATACTTAAGTAACAGTGTATTTGAACTTTGTTACTTGATAATTGTGTTTAGATGTTGGTGTTGCGTAGTGTTGGACCTACTGCGGGGTGTAGCCCTCCTTCTATTATTACAGCTAACAGACCTTTTGCCCTGCATTAAACTGGATTGATGGATGTATTTAGCATCTCGTTCTAGCCAATAAAAATATGAATCTCTGTTTCCCCGAGTCAGAATTTTAGGTCCAGACACTCAAACCTAAAACCTTGTTTTTCATTTTATTTCTGTCTTGTGGGACTTACTGGAGTTAGTGTGTTTTACAGAAAATGCATTTGTAACATTTGTAGAAACACTTTTTATTGTATTTTTATTGCACATTTCAGTAACTAGACAATTAAGTACATGAACCGACAGTTAAAGAAAGAAAAAAGTACATTGCTGAAGCATCATAATGACAGGTAAAGGGAAGTTGGACAACAAAGTACACAAAGTTTAGTTCAACAAAATCAATTATTAATTTTTTCCATTGTGGATTTCAATCCCAGAGACAATTAGTTGGCAGCGCTGTAAGGATGTTTGTGAGTTGGACAGCATGTAGCTTGCCACCATTAGTGTGTGTGTGAATGACTGAATGTAGTGTAAAGCACTTGTTTAAGTCTCCTGACCTACAAAAGCACTATATTAGTACAGACCAATCCTCTGAAAGAACAGAATATTTGGTGATGATCTGCATTTTGAAGCGACATGTTTGAGACAAAAGTTGCTGATGAATCTGAAAGATGTCATGTTGGCACCACTCCCATGAAACAAAGAAAGGAAGAAGTAATACAACAAGAATCAGCAATCCTCAGAGTTTGGACCAGAATATATTCCTCAATATATTCCAATATTCCTCATTCTAGTTGTAGGGGATTGTCATTGTTTTGGTTCTGTTTTAATTTTATCTTTGAGTTTTCATTTGGTTTTATTTCCATTTTGTGTTATTCAGGTTATTTTTGATTGTATTTGAGTACTTGGATATTTCTTGTTTGCCCTCTGTTGCCCTCCTATGTCAGTATCCTTTTAATTTGCCCCCTTCTTCACACCTGCTCCCAATCTGATGATTATCCTGGTCTTTATTTCTCTCTCCCATATATGCACCTCCTGCTCAGTCGCTGTTGCTGGTGATCCGTCATTTCATCCCCTTCTAGTGAGTTTTCCTGTATTTTCTGTATTTTTGTGGGTTCTGAGATTTATGTTTTTGGATTTTTGCTTCTGTTGCCCTTTTTGGTTAATTAAATCTGCAAGTAACCACCTTCAGCTTCAGTGTCTGCATTTGGGTCCCGTCAAACCTGCACCATACTTGACAGGGATGTGTTTCCTTCATTTAGAATCTTTACAATCAAATCAATTCATATAAAAAGCTCTAATAATGTTAGACATTTGGTTTTAGCTATGGAGAAAGACTGATTAAAATTAAATCTGATCATAAGAATAATACAGTATGTGAATAAGAAAATGGTCCCTCTGAGATATTAGTCCTTTGATCCTTGAAATGTTCTCCAGGTGATGAGTGTCTCTAAAGGATCATGTCTGAATTCATCAGCACACCCAGACTTCAGGCCTGATCAGTGGTTTTCAGCTGAGATGACTAGAAACATACACATAATGTCACGTCTTACTTCTATGGTTAAATCTGAAGAGGTAGGCTTTTGACTGTATGGTCTGGTGAACTATAAAGTACCTTGAGAGGACATGTGTTTTGAATTGGCGCTATATAAATGAAGTGAATTGAATTGAATTAGGTTCTAGTTTAAATGATCCAAACCAGGTAATATGACCTCCTTGACAGTTAGAGGTAGAGGTGTTGAAATAAACTTATATAAAGGCACCTGAACAGAGGACATGATCATAACCTGTTCTCTTATAATATGGAAAAATCACAGTTTTAAGATTTGAATATTCCTAATCTTTTTAGCTAGAGAATATAGTTTTCCTGCTGTCGATGTCGTCTGGATCGAATATTACGGAGCAGCACATTTAGGTTCCATGGATTTCCTAAACAGTAAAGGTTAAATTTTTATTTTTTAATCAAAGAAACAGCAAACAACAATAAAGGTAAACAACATGATTCCTTACCAGAACTTTCCTCATCCCTCTCTACGTTTGCAGGGTCCTCTTTGAGCTCAACGCCAAGATCTGATCGCCATTTTTTCCAGTTCATTACAGTCACTCTAAAGGAAATAAGTTATTATTGTGTTACGGTTGATGAAAATGTTAAGGCTTTAAACATTAGATCAAAACCCATGAGGTTATACAAGTATTCACTTTTTCAATTCTATAAACAATTCTTCACACTATCTGGTTGGTGTCCAAACTTTCAAAACCTTAAAATACAGAGGAGCAGTAGCTGAAAATTAACTCATATCCTTTTGTTGTGAGTTGGCACAGATCATTAAATAAAATAAAATATAAAATAAAAAAAAATAGTGGACTCCTGCCGAAAAGATAAGCATGGTATGTAGGTTCAAAAAAAGGTCTTGGATATTTCCCGTAATAAAAAGGTATTATATACTTTTTGGATCATATTCTTCTATACTGTTGATTTAGAACATTTAGATGTCTTTGCAGCACAAAATTGCTAAATTTGCATCTTTTAGCCAAATGTAATTAATGGTTGTGCCCACGTCCATTTTTTTTCTTTTAAGAAAAAACAGAAATATTTTTTTTTTTTTTGATCAACATCAAAATGTAAGCACATGCCCATGGTAGATAGATTATATATCATAAATATGAATGTTCATAACAGAGCACTTCACTGTCAATCTGCAGGTTTACTAGTGGTTCCTAGAATTTCTAAAAGTAAAATGGGAGGCAGATCTTTTAGTTAT